GCTCGTCCCTCCTCCTGGAGGCGTTCCAAACCAGCCTCACCTAAACCTCCTTCACCTCCGCCACCACTACCACCACCTCCGTCTGTTGTTGTCATGGAGACACCAAAACCGATAGTGGTTAGTCAGCCTAGACCGTCCGTCACTCCGGCCGGTGAGATTTCATACCATTTCTTGCAGTGCCTAAGGCACCTATCATGATGAACTTGGAGGTAAAATAATTGTAAATGCATAGAAGGTTGAAGATTAGTAATTTAGTTAATGAGAATCGAATCGCAGAGGACTAAGGCCTACAGGTTTAAATATGCTATTAAAAACATCATCATTCTGTTTTTCTTGAAATTGTTTTAAAAATACAGGTTCGAGGGGAGATGGGGTATTACACGCAAGTCTGGAGGTAGTTTTGTCTCTGAAATACTGGTGGGCATTAATGCAGCCATGAGCGGAACTCTGCGATTCTGGTAGCTGAATCTTTAGGGAGTGTTATATTACCATTTTACCCCTTCGTTCATTCTTCCTTAGCACCAGTGATTTCGCAGCCAGCGTTCCGTCCATTAATCATCAATTCCAATCGACCACAGGCCATCAGAACACCCTTGATGGCTACCTCAGGCCAGCACGTGCCACCACCAGTGCAGCTCACACAGTCTAGCGGTATTGCTGCCACTGCCACCGCCCCTTGCTCCACACCACGTCGTACCGGTGGTTCCACTGCAGCACCCCTCTCGCCTAACTCCGAGGCGGCTCGGGCGCGGGCGCGCAGTCTGGCGGCCTCACACGCAGCACGCATATCTGCAGCGAATCGGCGCTTCCGCACTGAGAAAGCAGCGCTAGATACGAGGGTGGCCTCGTTGGTGGAAGAACTGGCCAATCGGCGGCGACTGAGTGTTAAGTACATGGCGCTTCAGGTTCAGGTAAGTTAGGTGGCCTTCTCTAGCCCACCTCAGGCGATCCTCAAGATCTGGCTTAAGTTTCATCTTGACCTGACTTTTTAGTCTTAATTTTGGCGGGCTTAGTCGGACAAATTGAACGTGTGTTTATTTCAAACTTTAATTGAATCTGGTCTGTAGCAATCATTAAATATATTGAATAGCTTACCGTTCCAAACTACTTTAGTGTATCATTAAAGCGAGTATCATAGTCCAATTCCTCGCAGCAGTCGGTTGAGCGAACTAAAGGCGATCATGAATACAGAAAAAAACTCGTTATGAATTTGTATATAGGAGGGACCATCGCGTTTGGAGTACCTTGAGAATCGTTGTTTTCTTTTTGGATGACCATTTCATTCGATGGTCTGCAGATTATGTTAAGTGTTTCAGTGTGTGTTTTCTATCCTATTTGTAGGAGGAAATCCTGCAAGCCAAAAAAGCAACGCAGAGGGAGGCCTTAACGGAGCCAACACCACCAGCACCCCCACCGCCACTACCGCCACTGAAGCTGAAAGTACAGACCTCGGAGCGGTTATCAGCATCTGCAGGTCGGGGCGAATCGAAGTCCACTTCTGCCACTACCAGTAAAACCAGGACCACTAGAGCCGGACGTAAGCGGAGGATCGCAAGGCAACAGCTACTTCATACACACCCTTCTACACCTCCTACGGCGCCAGCAACGGACTCTGACGAGGAGCACTATGCCATGACTTCGCCATCAAGGCAGGCAAAGAGGAGGAAGGTGGGGGAACTGAAGAACGAAGCCCCTCCATATATTAAAACGGAGGCACCAACCGTGAGTCTTCTGATTTGGCATCAGTACCAAAAAGATGCTTTTCCTGATTAAGGATTTAAATCTATTTTTATTGGCGCAATCTGTGGGAAGGGAAGCACCTTTTGAATCAACGCCTTCACCTGTCAATAAGCCCCTCTCTGTGAGTGGGAAGGGGTTTGCCATATTTCTAAGTTTCCCATAATCCTGAAATTGGATATTGGTACTAACCCTCCTCTATTGAATGTTTGGACTAGTACCTATTGGCATACTTCGTAATTGGAGGCGTCTTTGGGCTGATCCCTTGAGATTTCCTGTTTTTATTCGTTTGCGATTGTGTAGCCTAGTCTTAAAACCATGACTTTTCATCCTACGATTGAGTTTCCGTTACAAATAATTATCTGTCTTCGTAATTAGCCAACTCCCGATGAATTTCCTTTCTAGTTGTAGAATATACGAATGTGGAAGTACAGAAAAGCCGGAAAATTGGGTCCATGGGCGACATGAGTGGTGCTGCATGTGGTCAGCATTGAGAACGATTTGTGACAGAGATTGTAGAGGAGTGCGCATTTAATTGTAGTAACTAGAAGCTTTTTTTTTTGCATAAAACGAAGTTTGGGTGATTTTCAGAGGACGACATTACTTCCGCGGTCCTTTTGTCGTGAATTTCCGCATATTTAGTTATCTTTAGGAAATGCCTTCCTTACGACGCTTAATCGACCAATCGATGCAGATGGAAGCCTTTAGGGGCGGTTACAATTTTTATGACGCCATGGGATCTGGGAGTAAATTTATCATGAATGCACGGAAGGGCTGGAAAAGCTAGAACACCGGAGGTGGCATTGTTAATGCTCTTCTCCACTGTCGTGAGGATTAAATCGTAGGAGATCTGTTGATATCTTTTTTCCGCTTCAGCCCCGCATCCGCCGTGGGGGCCGTCCTAGTAAAGACATTGGCTCTCCCACCAATGGAAAGCGTCGGCGATGCGAAGAGTTCACAACCTCCTTCTCTCCGGCTGCCAAGGTAGCAACAGCTACTACTAGGAGTAGTCGTGGAAAGGCTCGAGGAAGGTGTGGCAGAGGTGCTTCCAAGTCAACACCTTCAACTTTATCCAACTCTGCAGTGTCAAGACCACGCCTTTCTATCCGCACACCAAGGTACCTTCTTGAGGAGGCAGAAAGAGAAAAGGCAGGAACCCGTTCGAGACGGCGCTCTAACAATGGCGACGGTGATGCAGCGAAAAGGTCCTACAAGGTGGAGAAGACCGATGCTTTTGACGATAAGAGGATTTATTGCCTTTGCAGGAAACCCTACGATCCTTCTCAGTACGTTTTCCCTCCTATCCGGCTCATAATTGCCCTGCTAGCAGCGCTGTTTCCCCGTGCTTTTGTGCGCCATTGGTTTCAGCTTGCCTGTCTGGATTATTTGATACAGCCTATGCTACTGATGTTTGCGTCAGTAGCAGTTACTGTCCCATAAGTACTCCTGTCCCACTGTTTTTTATTTTATGATCCTGATCAAATGAACGATCGGCTTTAAAGATATCACCCAATCTTTTGCATTTCCAATCGAAGCATAAGTTCTGTAAGAGCCAGTGGGACTCAATATATCTTTGTTTTCAAAAGTATTATAAACGCTGCTGCTTGCATCGCGCCTAGGGCGTACATTGGTTGCGATCTCTGCCAAGACTGGTTTCACTTCACCTGCGTTGGTTTGGAATCGGGCACCTCTACAGCGGCCTTGGGTGACTCCTGGCTCTGTCCAGAGTGCCAGCGGGCCGAGGACAAGGCGAAGGACGAGGTCTACTGCCTTTGTCGCACACCTTACGACCCCACTCGGTAACCCCTCCCTCCCCTTTTTTACCCGCCACATTTTTATTTCTCCTCTATGCGCTTTTCGCTGTTGTAGGTATGTGTATGTGTGGTGGGTGAAGGAGGGATTGCTTTCCTGAGCAGCTATCCCATGTGCATTACCTTTCGGTCTCAAATAAATAGGCTTTTCTGTTCGATTTCTGCAGCGTCTACATCGCGTGCGATCGATGCGATGAGTGGTATCATGCGGAATGCGTGGGCTTGGAGGCGGAGGCAGTGTCTAAGCACGAGGGTGAATACATCTGTCCTATGTGCACGAAGAGGGCAGATAATGTTTCGAAGGGAAATGAGGATTTTAAAGGCGGTGATAGTTATGACAAGGTGAAGAAAGAGGAGCCAGAAGAGACACAGAAGACACTCTATGAAGCGCCGTTGACGGAACTGGTCAAAGGGGCCGTGCTGGAGTTGTTTGATGATTTAGAGGTCAGCTACATTTATTGATTGATTTCGTTAGCGATTCATCTTTTTAACCACAAGTCTTTGTTACCCCCTTTTTCTGCGTCTCTAAACTTAATACTTGTTTAGTAAGGCCAACATTTTGTCTATCATTATTATTTAATATGGCATTTACTAGTAATGCTGAAACTGAAGTGACTTTCAACGCAACTTTTTGGGCTCCTGACGTAATATCCTCGTTCTGATCAGTTTGCATTTGGGTTTTTTAGTTGATATTGATATTGCCGTGTTATTGGTCATGGAGATACTGCCTCGTTTGTTCACCAAAAACTGCCTTATTTTCGATGACTTTAATCACTTACCTTCTGGTTGGTAATCGACCTTGCTTCATCATCGGTTAATCGCTTAAGTCGGCGGAATTTGATCTGCACAAAGCTAGTACTTACCCCATAGAGCTTATTGCTCCCTAAGAATGTACAATTTAACATCTTCGGAGGTATTAACATACGCCGATTTTCCATTTTTTGATGGGGCGCGTAATTCTACTAGTTCATGTAGTGAACCAACATTCATTTCCGGTCGTACAAAAATGATACATTTGATGAGTCAAGTCCCTTATAAGTGTTGAGAAGTCAGTTTTATCTCCACTGTACACTAGTTATGTAGCCAATTTGTCTCTATGTTCTTACAGTGGCTCCTTTAACGACCACACTCTGCCTTTTTTAAACTTACTTATTGCAAATCCTTTATGGGCTTTTAAGCTTTTTATGAAATAGGAGTCACTTTGATCATGAGCAACTTCTCCCGGATGCTTTTGAAGCCTTGCTTGCGATGGTAGAAGGTGGTCGAAAAGTTCAAAGTTGGATGGAGCATATCAATACCCTAGTGTAGTCTTCTAACTTGGTCAAACCTAATTTTCCTCCTGTACTAGTAGATTTTTTCAAGTAGTTAAAAGTTGCGAAATTTTATTTCGACAATTTCATTCAGTTGCACTTACTTATTCGTGACTAGCTATGAAATAACTCAGTTTATTCACTTGCCCTGTCGATAGTTTTCCCAGAGGTCGTAAGCATCGCTTAGTCTACCAGTTCTCTAGCATCGTTGATAACTTAGGAGCACTGTCTGTTACTTGCTTCCCTTAAAATCTCATCTCTTCACCATAGGCACACAAACTCTCTTGGCCTTTCATGAAGCCGCTACCGCAGTCAGATCAACAAAAGAAAGGACCTACAGGTAAGTTTAACAATGACTTGATTTACAAAAATTCCCAATTTCGCTGTCAGGGTCCCGGTGGAAAATGGTTCATTACGACGTAGATATTTTGTTTTTGTTGTATGACACCAGCTGCTGCGGTTAATTCGGTTTAATTGGTTTCCAGGTAAAAAAATCCACGCGTAGTCTCTAACCGCATTTTATTCATCCTGTAGATTTGGCCAGCTTCAGGGCAGCCTTCGAGCGTGGTGTCTATCGGTCTCTGGGAGATATCTCGTTCGCCAGCAACCGTCTCTTCTCCAACGCTCGCCTTGTCTTCGATACCACTTCAACAGAGTTCCATTGCGTGGAAGTGCTGGAAGCCTTCTTCCTCCGACGCATGAAGGAGGTGCGTAGTCTCTCTCAACAAGCCTCTCCCTCTTCCTGATCTTATTGACACAAAAACTCAAGCGTAATCTGTACATTCATCTCTGCTTGAAATACCGTGGTGGTGGGATGCGGAGAGGAAGGTTATATCCCACCCCGTTTTCCCATTTTACGATGTTTAGCTACTGCACATACCTATTTGTGTCTGTCTGTGTGTATGTATGTATTTTGTACTACTTTGTATCTCCCCCTCCGTTCCTAATCCCCCCGCCACTTCGTTTGCCAAGAATATTAGGAGGAGGTGCAGGTGGAAAATACGAATTGTTTTTATTTATGTGTAAAATAATAATAAGAATACTTGAACTTTACTACTCTGTAAACCATTGACCCCTCTGTGTTCTTCTTACCGGAGTTGTGAAATGGCTGCAGTGATTATTCCTAGTTAAGTGAATTGGGAGGGATACTTCATTCAGATTGTCTCTCATACGTATTCAGATGAATTGCCATAATCGCTTTGTTGTTGACGTTTTTAGGTGAGTGATTGAGTGGTTTTTGTGGCTGCGTTTTGACGTTCGAGTTTAGTGGTAGTGTTTACCACTATGTAGTCACTTGTGTGGCTTTCTCGCAGGATTCCAAGGCTTAGAGTAAGTAACTTCTGTCTATTTTTAAGGACTCAAGGAAAAAGTGCTCTTTGTCAAGAGAATATCATTCATAGACTATTAAGAATTCGAAAAGTCAGAAGTGTAGCTCCAGCGTTTCGAAATGACCAAATAGTAGCAGATGGTACTGGTGGAGGCTCCATATTACTAAATTAAAGTACGTATTCTAAGCGATTGAAAAAATCCTTCCAGGCTGGTCGATTATAAGCAAGAATGGTTCAATTCCGTCGAACCGCTGCCAAACCCTCATCATCGATGTCTTCGATACAATCGGTTAACTGTCCCAAGGACCACTGCTACCGCCTTGCGCCAAGGTACTTAGTGTAGTGACTCACCGTCAAAGGTTAGCAACTGAGTAGCAGGAATTTTATTACACTTTGTGACTTATTGTTTCCGTGACAGCGAATCAGATGTAATCACATCTGACCTCTCGACCTTGGATCGGGTTTACTTCTTAACCTCGGAATTTTCGAATTCCGAGTAAACGAGAGGAGGACATTCGAGATTACGTCAGGCTGACTGAATCGATTGGACGACGAATTCGAGGCTTGTGGTTTTATTACGAGTCGAAAACAGACATTGAAATAAACACTTCCTTTACAGTTTTGGAGAAATCCTACAAAATGACGATAAAAAGCTGTTCAGTCAAATTTAGACAAATAATTTGAACCATTTAAATGTGTGGTCAAATGAACGAGTGCACTGATTCGATAAAGCCAACTCTGAATCGCAAAGCCAGTAAGGGCACTGGGAGACGGGGGGATGTAATGGCCATCACGTATGCCCATCGGTAGTTGTAGAAACACTGACCCAAAAGCCGGGTCGTATAACAAAAGAAGGAGTTTAACACAGTTTCGTGGGGGTTGAGTATCACGCCCATTCCCCCTGACACGTTGGTCTCACTTCAAAGCTGCCCGGTCGTATGTCTACCTCGGTTCTGCCCGGCTAGTGGAGAAGTAGTGGAGGTATCACGCTGGTTCACTTCATTGACACATTCATGCAGGTACGGTAAACAGTTCCGCAACAAACTTCCAGATGGTTCAAGACTAGTGTCGCCGAACGTAGGCGTTATTTTCAGACCCTCTGTCAGGCCTCGTCGTATCGTCTCCCATCTGCAGTATATGAATTTCTTCCGTCACACTAGGGTTTAATACCCACCAGTACAAGTCAGGATAGTTGCTCTTTAAGATCGAGTTTGCTTCTCCTCCTTCATACAAAATTTCCATAGCTCTAGATTGAAATCTCACCAACTAATGACTTGAGTTTCGATTGGAGGCAAAGAAACCAGACGTTACATGAGATAGATGCACTTTATGGGGTAGCCAAGAAAAGTTTGTGCTATTATCAGTACAGTTCACCCCAGTGGATCCTAAAACCACAGATATGTAAGATGAATACGATTGTTAATGCGAATTCAATTCACATTCTTATTTGGGTCTATGCAATTTTCTTCCTA